GAGGCAGTATTGATTTAACAATGTAGACAGGTATCAAATTAGTTTAAGGATAATAAATTTTAAAGACCTGATCATCGCTCAACACACCACATATCCTTTAAATAGGAAAAGAAGGGAATTAGTAGTTAAAGAGGAATTGATGCTGGAAAAAATGCAAAGGGAGGACTCTTGAGAATGCTGTCTCCGTTATGTAGCTTAGAAAAGCAGCTTGGTGTGGTGGTTGTAGACATAACAACACTGAACAAGGAAGTGCTTTAGAACAACTACATCAAGGCCAGTGGCAACCTGACTGAGCTAAAGTTAACAGAAATGTTGGTACAAGAATTAGGGAGAGCAGCAGCACCTTCTTAATAAATAGAAGTTACTCAGTGATTTCTAAGAGGACATAGTACAAAATGCACCAGTACTCAACTGTGCTAAAGTCCAGGTGTCTCTGTTCCTCAAGACACTAAGGAAAAATTGATTAAGTTAGCATTAGACTTTGTTCCCCTTTTAGTGCAAAGTAGCGCTCACTTCTGCATTGATCCAAAATGAAACAACACACTTTCAGCAAATTTAATAGTGAAAAAGCCACAAGCATGGTTTTGAGGAGGGAAAACACTGCATGCCACAATGCTCCCCTCAAGGTTTGCTTGTCAGACAAACTAGTCTGTCAGTGCAACTTGTGAAGTGAGGAGATTGTCTGGAGGTGCTGCATGCTCTTTAAACTGGGTGGAAGGAGCAGACAAGAAGTCAGCACTGCTGCTTTTTCAGCACCCCTCCTACCTGAAATGGGGATTCCTCTGTGGGCTCTAATCTTTTGCACTTTTTTTGCCCTTGCAGACATCTGTTCTCATATATTACAAAAGACAAACAAACAGAGAGCTTGGTGGAGAAACTTTGTCAGAGATTCCGGACTGCCAGGTGGGTTGTAATCTTAATTTTCAGGCCAAGCGCTTCTGCTTCTCAGGATTTCTCAGAAGAAATGAGCTTGTGGTTGTAAATGGTTCCTGTTATATTCTTTACGTGACAAATACAAAATAACTTGGTTTAGGTCCCCTTTTTTTTCAAACTGCCTTCTCCTATAAATACATAAATACTTATAAAATAAGGTTTTTTGTTTTACTATGCGGTGATTGACCCCCTCTTCCTTCCTTTTTTAAGAAAAAAGTTTTGTGACAGTCTAGATTTGTGTTATAGCTGAGCAAGGAGACATCCTACATGTGGATTCTACATATCTCTATGATCCTTCTTCATGGGCTATTCCCTTGCAGCTCAGCTAGGAAATTAGTGTGTTCAGCTGAGAAGTTGGGATCTTTCCAACAGTCCTGTCTGGGATGATCTCAGCTATCAAGCTGATATAGGCCTGTCCTTGTTCTGTGTGCATGGGATGCTCAGTACCAAGTCTACACCTGGGACTCTGTTCTGGGTTTTTATTATTATTATTTTACCTAAGGGCTTATGCTACCCTACACTTTGGCTTTTGCTCTGCTCCATCTCCAAGATATGCATACCTTGCATGTGCATTGCTGATTACAGAGTAAAGAGTGCAGGACCCACACTGTGAATCTCGGATATAATTTTGCTTTCTGAGTTTTGGGGCTTTTTTGCTGCTTTTCTTCTGCTCGCCAAGCTGTAACTTCACTGACCCAGGCACACACTTTTTGTTTCCTTCCAAGAAGAATAATAATAGAAATTTATCTCCTTCTATTCCAGTGCGATATCTTCATTTTAACTTCCACTGGCTTTGGTGTACCCTGCTTCCCTCCATTCCTGTGGTTTTCCTTCTCCATTGTTGTGGCTTTGCCCTTGAGATTTAAGCTGTCTGCTTATCTTGGCCATTCGTGCACAGTGCCTGGGCATGTGACCTGCTCAGCTGCCTCAGGGAGTTGCATATTTCTCAAAATATTTGGATTTTGTTTCCTGACCAAGAGTGGAGAGTGGTCCCTGTCTCCAAAGTTGCCTCCCAGGACCACTGCTGAGCTCTTCACGCCACATTTGTAAATAACCCTCTGTGTGTAAGTTGTGTCTCACCTTTAGTAGAATGTCCTGATATTTCTGTACCACGAAGGTGATCAGCTTGGTGCACACTAGTGGTACTGCTAGAGCAAGACTCTCACTCCAGGCTAAAACAGGAGCTTATCAGAAAAGATTTGCAGCCACCATTGCCCTCCTCAGCATTTCTGGAGTTCTAAACATAGCAACTTGCCAGACTATAAAGGTAGAAACACCTGGATGCTGCAGCTTTGTTCTCCATCTGTCTGGGTTTGAGCAGAGCATCCTGAGACAGCATGTGCTGGACAGACTTGAGGCCCTCACTTTGTGTATATTAAAAATAGGCGCTTTGGCCTTGCTTTTTCCCTTCCCATTCCATCACAGTGGTCTACATTAGGGATGTTAGTTTGTGCTTTTGTTTTTATTTCCCTTTGGTTTTAATCAAGTAACTTTTTCTGGAATTTCAATGTAGTCATTCTCTGATACAGCATTTGTTATTTGTTGACTTTATAACTTAATGAATATGACCTTCTTTATGTAACTAACCAGGAAAGGGAGAGAGAACATCAAATACAGTTTCTGTTTGAGATCATCTCAAACATGCAAAAATGAACAGCTGGGGGGGTTTGTTATGTGGTTGAAATAAGGCCCTTCAAGAGGAGTCCTGACCTCACTGAGTCTGTTCCTCCTGGTCACCAGTAACTTCTGATGCTTTTCAAACAAGTGACTGTGTTCTTTAGCAGTGGAAACTTCATGTTTTTCCAACAGGTGCTAAGTCAACGTCATGGAATACAGTGGTGGTTATCTGTGGTATGGCACAGTGGTGGTTATCTGTGGTATGGCACAGCACCCTGTCACTGACCTATAACAGAACAACCTGAATCTCACGTCCTGCAGGGCAGAAGCACCTGCAGGAAATGCTGGTAGTTCTGGGTGAGATGTGCTCATCCTCACACACCCCTTTTTGTAGGAGCTAATGGTGATCTTTGTCTTTCCCAGGACTGAGCGTCAGTATCGGGATCTGTCCCACTGCCTTGCTCTGCTTCCAGTCTCGGAACGGGGCCTTCACAAGCTGCAGGACAACTATGACTGCTTTGCAGACAAGCTCCAGGATCCAGCTGTCTACAATTGTTTCCAAACTGTGCTGGCTCGATTCCGCAGAGCAGGCGTCAAACCTGAGACTAAAGTAAGGGTGTGGGACAAGGGTCCAGGCCAGCAAACCAATTGCTTTTACATACAGTGACTGGAAAGCCCTGCAGTTTTTGATTTTAAGCAGACTATTCCTCACCCCTAAAAATGTATCAATTTATTTATTTAACTTGATGGTAATTCTGCTATGGATGTAATACTTCCCTCCCCTCACCTTCTGTTTTTTTTTCCCTCCACTGCTGTTTTACATCTCCATCAGGCTCTAGCTGAAGAGCTGGAGCGGAAGCTGTCTGCCTCCCATAACCGAGGATTGGATTCCACAGAGACATGCCAGGATGGTAGTCAGACTCCAATGCCAGTGCCAGCCAAGCAGAAACCAATAGGAAGTATGTTCCTTTTTGTCAGATTCCAGCCTCCCCCTGATCCTGCAGTCCAGGAGAAACACCTAAGGACTTTTCCTCACCCTTACAGACAGAAATTTGCTGCCTTTCTCTATTTTTTTTGCCCATTTTCTTGACAGGTTCACGCCGCCAGCCCCTAAGCCCAGCCAACACAGATGATGATTTTGTCACACCCCCACCCCGCACACACCGAAATCATAAGCGTGCCCAAAAGCGCCCTCCACGCAAAAAAACCATCATTGCCTTCTCCAGTGATGAGGAGAACAGCTCTGAGGATGGTAAGACACTGCACACGTGTGCTGCAAGGGGGGGAAAGACTAGAGATCTGGCCCAACAGGGCTGCCCTTTGGCCATGGGCTTCAGATCGCTGTGGATGTTGCCTGTAGATTTCTCTGCTCAAGGCAGTGGAGTGCTCATTATTGACACCTTTTACTCTCTTTAGAGCTATTGGCAGAATTAAGAGAGGAAGAAACCCCCACCAAAACAACTCCCATCACCAGATCTTCAGCCCGACGGCTGCGCTGAAGGAACCATCTGCCACTGCTTTAGCTAAAAATAAAACTCTTTTTATGCAACCATCGCCTTCTCTTGTCTGAACTACCCCATAATACAGCAGTGCTTTAAATGAGGACAAAATGGAAATAGCACCAGGCTGAAGCAATTCCAACCCTTTCTTCTGATATCTGTGCTGATGAACATAGTTGCCATTTGGACTGATTTTGCCCTGAGTGTGTGGATGAGAATAAGCTGCTCTTATTAAAAAAAAAAAAAAAATCTTTGGAAGAAAGTTTTTCAAAGAAGAGCCAAACTACCAACAGAGTACAAAATGCTTATTCCTTTCTTATTTTGTATGTGTTTTATACTACACTATTCAGCTTTTATTAAGGACCAATGCAGTGGTGCTGGATTTGGGCCATTTTACATTTCATGTTTTTTGAAGCCCTTATCCTGTAAAGCCAAGCCAAGGGTTTTGAGGTGAAGGTACCTGCATCTTTTTCTTGTGCATATCTCATCAAAGAAGTGTTCAGGGAGTGGAGTGTGAGGAGAAAGAGTGAGAAAGGCTAACTTAGACTATGGCACTCCACTAAACAATAAGTAAAATGCATAGGAAAAAATACATCTTTTAAAAGCTAAGAAACCAAAACCAATCCAACACTAAAACTTTAGAAGTAAATTGTAATAATGCTAATTTGATAAGTTACTAAGTATACTGATACCCTTGATTGTCTTACTGCTTTCTGGAATGTATTCGCTGCAATTCAATTATGTTTCAAGCAAAAATGGCACCTGGGTTTTTTCTTTCATGAATGCCACATCAGTTTTCAAGTCAGTCCTGGCACTCCTTAAACTGCCCTGTGAACATGAAGTACCCTAAATTAGATTCTGTGTTAATCACATAAATAACCTTTAACCTTTTATCTAGAGGCAAGTTGGCATTTGTCCCCGAGCTCTTACTACGGAAATATTTCCTCTTACCTTGTCAGCTGCCTAGAAAGCAGACCAGTCACTAACTGGGCAGGAATGCGAAGGGTGCTCCTCCTCTCCACTGGCTCCCGGAGATCTGCAGTCTGTCTCTGAGGCTCTACTACCTTCACACAGTTGTGGTCACTGTGGGTTCACCCAGCAAGTAGAGCATGCTGCTCAGTTCCCTTCTGTTCTGGCTGCAGAAGCAGCTGCTGTAGCTTATTTTCATCCCTATTAAAAAAAACAACCATTAGGAAATGCATAGTTTTGCACTAACCTGAGCATACTTAAATGGACATAATCATGTTAAATGCTTCCAGAAACAAGTAAAGTGGGGAATGATGGGGTAACAGGTGTATTTATAAACACCCCACTTGAGTCCCATGACTTAGTGAAAATATCTGCCTACTTGCCACCATCCTAATAGCCAAATACCAGTATAGATATGCTCCAAGTCCAGAGCACACCAATAGTCTCAGGACAATCACATGAAATACAAAGATCAGAAAGCTACAGCAATGTTGTCCTTCTCCCTCCTTCCTGATAAAATATTCAGTGAAGGCTCCAGGAGGCAAAGGTAGCAGCTACAGCATTGACAGTAAATACAACACAGAGTCATGCACACCATACGTGATCTCCTCACCACCCACAGGGAATGACACTCACATACAGGAATAAAAAAAGGACAGCATATATGGATGTCTGCCCAGGCTCAAGGTTTTACATGCAATAAATCTTGTGAGATAATATGCTGCTAATGCTACAATAAGGGAGATATGAATGGGTGGATAGAGGAAGTGAGGTGGCCATAAAACTTAAGCATTGGCTCACCTTCAGGCCATACCTTTCCACTACAAGTGGTTGAAATTTTTCCTTCAGGAGATCCACACAATCACCCTTCTGGAAGGAGGGTCTGTCAATCAGTCACTGGACAGACAGGCTGGCTCCTTCACTGCTTTGCAGTCTGTCCTTTGCTCAGTCTCAGACACTGTGCTGCTTGGGCAAGTAAGAGTGAAGAGTCAGTGGGTGAGAGCTCTGATTGATTGCTTTCTGCAGGTTGTTCAGATGGAGCAACCTCCTTTGCTCACTGCCTCTCTTGATACTAAAAGAATTAGCAGTCCTGTGTTATGGACAAAGAAAGTCCTGAAGAAAGATAAGGCAAAACTCAAGCGACGTTTGGGTAGCTACATAGAGACTACAGCCCTAAGAAGATATTTGCTGCTCTTCTCTTCCTCACAAACATATTTTGGTGGCTGCCACAATGACCATAAATCACTGCCAAAGGAGTAATCCCATTCCCCTGCTCCTGAGGCAGTGGGATTACTCAGTGCCAAGATCAATGGTGTTTCCATCCTCTAGGGACTCCTGACCATGGTTGTTCTGAACTCCTACAAATGGTACCAGTGGAATAATGTGAATATTGTACAGTTCTAGAGCCTGCAGCAACCATCTTCCCTTTCTATCACCTTGGGCCAAGGGGTGTTCCATCAGGGTACTTTGCTCAGTTCCCAGATCTCCCAGTCTCCAGTTGTCCTGCTCCTTTCCTGTACGAGCAACTGTTTGTAGAAGGTTGATTGTGATTCAGCAGCAGACCATTTTTCTGGTCTTGCAAGCCTTAGAGTCAGTGCCCCAGCACCCAAGGGGGAAGGGTTTTTATAAAGGAAACTTGTTAGCATCAGAGAGGAAAAAAGGACAATAACCTATTTGAGTCTGAGAAAACTGGGGCAATCGAGGACTTGCCTGCCAAAGCCTTTTCACTTCACAATCATTGCCAGGACATGTCAGAGTAACTATTCAGTTCTACTGCAGTCACAGCAAAGATCTGGGACATGGAGCAGCTGCAACATCACGGCACCTGAGTCACTGAGCACCTGCATTTTATCCAGGCTTTGCTGGATTTGCAAGAACTTACAAGAATCTGCAAGAAAAGTTGCAAATTTTCTGCAGTCTCTGAAGTTTCTTGTTTGATATGGGAGAGTGATGGCTCTTTCCCTCTTGCCAGCCCCAGCTCTTGCTGAACCCAAGGAGGGCACTTGTCATTTGAGTTGTCAGAGCCCGTCCACCCCTGCAGGGCTCAGCCTTTGTGCAAGTGAACTGGAATTCTGGAGCAGTTGCAAACACATTTCTGGCATTCTTCTTGCAGTATGGGGGCCATCCCGTTCAAGGGATCCCAAATCAAACTGCTGCTATGTTTCATATCAAAACCAAAGCATTGATGCCTTTGCACTTACCTTTCACTCAGGAAAGGAGTGACTCTGACTCATGTACCCAGTGTGTTCCAGCGGAGCTGCTCCTGCCGGCAGCAGGAGTGCTCGAGCACACTGACTCAGCTTTTTCTGGACAGCCCCATGTGACTGGGAAGTACAGAACAGCATCCTCTGGGACACCTTGCATGCAGCACGAACATGTGCTGACTTCCTGTCCTTCCTTTCTTTCCCATCCCTCTGGAACTTTCACACCACGGGGCTCCTACACTACAGCATCCAGCACAAGGAGGGGCTGGGTTAGGGTTCTGTCCAGCAGTCCCCTGTGCTTCATAGATTCAAAGGTTGGTATTAAAGTCATCCTGTTTCCCACAAAGTTTCTTGGTGGGACTTTGGGAGCCCTTCCCTGTGCTGGCCCTGGCAACAGGGTGACAGGAATGTCAGACAGGATCTCTAGAGCATCACATTGCTCTGGACACAGCACCAACCATGGGCTGCAGCCATCAGCTGGAGCTAACAAAATTGGATGTCCACAGCTGTGCAAAGCACTGCTTCCAGCATCAGTGCTCCAGAATGAAGGGCCATACTCACTTCTCAAGGACTGGATGCAAAAGGTTTGTAAAACTTTCTATCTCATTGGGCAGAGAAGAAATGGACCCACAAACTTGCATCTGCAAGTGCAAAATGCCTGGAAGAAAGAAAGGGAGGGAAGGAGGGAGAGACAGAGCAAATAATCTGAACTGTGACTTTTGTTATCTCTGGAGAAGGCCTTTTTCTAATTTTCTTCTTTCTTTGAAAAAAATAAACAAAAGCAGGCAGAAGAACATGTTCTGTAGAGTTCTGACCTGACTGTTTTGTGCAACAGTACTGAACAAAGGGAAGTCCAGGGTGATGTTAACAGCACACCCACTGCTAATCCTGTACTGGGGTACAGTCCCCCCATTCCTCTCCCCTGACAAACTTCGCTGATTAGTTTCTGCCTTCATCCCCAGGCTGACTTCTACACCCCGATCCCTAAACAGTGACCTCATTGCCTTGTTCAGCTGGTGAGAAACTACAGTAAAATGGAAGAGGTAAACAATGTGGGGGGAACTAATGGCCAGAAGATTTAGGAGGTAGAAATCTGCTCCTTGCTATCCTGCTCCCATTGTGTGCCTGAGCTTGACAAAGTGCAAGCCAAGTCTCAACAAGCTCTTTTCTGTGACGGTTCCTCTGGAAACTCAGCCCAGTCCTCCAGATGGTGACTTGGGACAGACAGCCCGCAAATTATATGCTAATAGTACTAGACCCACGCTCCTGTCACTGCTACAAATTCTGTATAGTACTGAAATTTCACCCACCTTCTGCAGCAGGAGCTCTTCATTCCCAGTCCAACTGTCTCACTAAATTATAAATATTAAAAACAAGCCTGTGTTGTCATAGACCTGAATTTTTTTGTCCATTCTGTGCAGCCAGCAGTGTGCCTACCTCTAACTTAGCTGCAGTTCATACGCACACTGATCAGAGAAATAGCATTAACAGCACGCTACCTATGAGGAGTATGTTCAATACTCGTACACAATGCAGCCTTCAATATCCTCCTTTTGGGATGCATTTCAGTGTGTCACCCCATCCCTGACCCTGATAGACACCTCCAGGTCCTGGCCAGCAGCAGCTCAACTCACATTTGTCTTCCCAGACACTCAGTAAACACCTTTGTGTCCTTTTTCTTTAGAGGAAGGGGTCTTGCTGAGCTCACCCTGAAATATATCACCCTGGACAAAAGGGCTGAAAGGTTAAGGAGCTCCAGGGGGTGGTTCAGCAGGGAGCTGGGGCCAGTCCCTGCCAGAACCAAAGCTATAAAGGCAGAGAGGGGCTAGGAACCACATCCTACATGGATGCTGCGAGTCCTGCCTTGCCTCCCACCAGCCCTGGGCTAAGAAGAAGATGCTGGGGCTTCAGTCATGGCCTTGCTCATTTTTCCTCTTCTTGGTTCTGCTCTCTGCCAGCGTTCAGACTGTGTCCTTACCAGGACAGAGGCTACAGGTAGGAGGGAGTAGGACAGAGCTGAGGTTAATTTCAGGAGGGGAGGAGGAAGGAGGGAGGTTATGTTTGAACCTCAAATGAGAAGTGGTCCCAAATTCCAAATACAAGACAGCTGCTGTCTATTCTTGTTGCACTCTCCCCTTCAGCAGCCTCAGCTCTAGGGTGACTTTATAATCCAGTCCCTAAGGAGCACCAGCATTTCGAGACAGGAAACAGACAAAAGCTTTTTAGTGCTCTGTAAAAGCTTTTAACAGCGAAGGGCCTGGCCCTTTCTAACCCCAATCTGTGTCAGCAGCCATCAGATATTACAGTCCTGCTTTTCATCATGGTTCTGGTTCTGATATTTCAGAGGGAAGATGCATCCTGTTAGGCCAGGAGTTTTGCTCCTAAGCTCAGTATTATCCCCCTTAAAGACCCTCTTTAAGGCCAAGAGCCCTGTCAGGATGCCAACTAAGGAGTTCTTAGCTTGAGTAAATCTTTATCCTTTGCAATTCCAGCAATAATATTTTTGACTTTCCATTCTAGCCAGCTCCCTCTTACCCAAACCCTAACCTGAGCCCCACCACCTTGCCTTTACATCACCCTGGGAAAGCCACAGGGAAATAGTCAGGACATGAACTAAAATCACAAGACTGATCCTGCTATGACTCACCACTTTCACTCCTTGCTGAGGATGCCTGTGTCCGCTTCAGTTAACTCGCTACCACAAAGAGCTGCACAAAGGCATCCTCAGCCTTAGCTCAGCATCCATGTGAGAGACAGATGTAGAACGGCTCCTGCAGGCTGCTTCTGTGGGCAGCAATGCCATGCCTCCACTGCACCCAACATACCCCCCAGGACTTGTCTCCCAGCAGTGCAGAGGATTTACAGTCAGCACAGCTAACACAGAGGATTTCCAGCAGATGGGGAGTACCTCTTCCTCACACCTGCTCTGTTCCTGCCTCTCCCTCATCTTTATCAGGTGTTAGGTGTTTATCAGGAGTCAGGACCATCCTTCTCAGCAGCCTTCTGGAAAAATGAAACAGTACACAGCAGCCTGAGCAAACAGAGATGCTCAGCATCCACAAAAGGAGCAAGGACTGAAGAGTTACCTTCCAAATCTGGGGCAGGGCAGGATGTGTGTACGGTTTTACAAGAGCAGGGCAATCTGCCCACAGGCAGAGCTCACAGCAGATGTCTGCCTGCTGTTTTGGATGACAGTCATTTCAGACAGTGGGAGCTGCTGGTCAAACCCTTCCCTGTGTCTGGATGCAATGTCACAGGCACAGTGCTGTAAGCAGGCATCACTTCAATGTCCTGCCTGAGTCCTCAGGAGGGTATGGGCAGTGGGGTACCAGGGGGAACAAGGCTTATCACCAGAAGCACAGGCATCACCCCACTCTCCTCCATTTATCCCAGATGCTCCTTTCACGATTGCTACCCCTGGAGCCCAAGTCCACGCTGACCGAAGAGGACACGAAAGAGGGATCCAGCTTTGGTCCTCAGCTGCTCTCCTCCACTCTCCCCTTCCTCCCATCTGGGGCTAGAGCTGCCCGTCCATCCCTCTGGCGCAAGAACCTCTCCAGTCGCAAGTGGGGACTGCCCGGAGATTGGGCCTGGAAGGCCATGCCCAGGGGTTGCTTTGGGCTGAAACTGGACCGAATCGGGACCTTCAGTGGTTTGGGGTGTTAGCTTTGGAGGGCCTCCAAGGTGAGTGGGATAAGAACGTGGGCTCGAGGGAGCGGGCAGGAAGGAACTTGAGGGCAGAGCTGTCAGCGAGGGGATGGGTAGCGGGGCAGGCTGCCGGGCAAGGCGGGGCCCGGGGACGCCCGTGCTGCCGGCGCGGTGCCGGGGCCCGGCCGGGGCGAGCGCAGGCGGGCGGGACGCCGCTGGGCGGCTCACCAGGCCCGCTTCTCCGCAGCCGGAGGGCACCCAGCCTCGGGAACCTGCACGGTCGGCAAGCAGCACGGCGCAGCGCTGCGCGAAGCCCTGAAGCTCCCGCCCCGAACATGGGAGGCTGCGGCAGCGAGGGAGCGGCGCGGCGGTACGAGCAGGAGCCGCCCGGCTCCGCGGCTGCCCCCCCGGCCGCTGAACCCCCGCTCGGCCGGCAGCCCCCTCCTTGCTCCCCGTGCCCGAGGACTCGCTCATTAAACACGCTGTACTAATTTGCCGCGTCCGCGGTGGCTGCCCCGGCCGGGAGGCGGTGCAGAGCCCGCCCGGCGCCCCCGGCCCCACGCGCGGGGCCGAGCCGGGCCCGGCCGGCGCCGCCGCCATTCCGCGTGGGGCGTGCGGCACGCGCGGCTGCGGCGCGGTGCGGCCGGGGGGGCGGGCACGGGTGAGGTATCGACCGGGCACGGGGCACAAGGGCCGCGCTGCTCACCCCGGCCGCACTCTGCCCCCGCCAGAACAAACACCGGGGCCTCCTGTTTGCGCCGAAGCTTCCCCCGACAGCCTGCCTCGGTGGGCTGCGGCCGGGGCGCCACCGACCCCGCACGAGCTCGTAGCCCTGCTGCTGTGCCCCGCGAGCCATCACCATGTCCTGGCCTTTAAGAAAAGGTTGTAACCTCAGCTGGGTCTAAACTTAGCCACCAGCCCCTCAGCAGCACCGGGAATAGCAGTGGTTTAAGGAGAGTAGGGTTACGTTTGAGCTGCATGACCCCTCTCTTGTCCCCCACCCCAGTACCTGCGTGGTTCCCCCAGCCTGCCCACCCCCTCCCTTATCCTCAAAGCCCGGCTCACCAGAGTAGCCAGAGGGACACACCAGCTCCCGCCACCCCCACCTGCTCTGATAGCCCAGATTTGCATCCCCACTGTTCCCACACCTTCCTCCGGGATGGGAGATTTGGGATTTGTGCGTGCTCTGGGCGTTGTACCTCAGGCGGGGTTGTCCCGCAGCACCTGCCCCGCGCGCAGCCGGGGGATGGAGGCGGCGGGGCGCGGTGAGGGAGCCCAGCCTGGGGGGCGGGGAACCGGGCAGCGGCCATGCCAGGAGCGCTTCCTCCTCGCAGGCAGGCAGGGAAGGCGGGCCGAGGCGGCAGACGAGCAGGATTTCCGCCGTCACGTCCCGCGGGCAGCGGCAGAGTGCCGCAGTGCCTCATTAAGATGGTGCTCACGCTGCCGCCCGTGGCCTGCTGGGGCAGCGCCCGGCCAGGGGCCCCGTCCAGAGCGCGCCTGGATAAGCCCACCCGGGGAAGGTCGCAGCCTGGAGGCGGAAGAACTCCCAGACTGTACCTCCCGTGCCGGGGGGAGTGGGGGACAGCCTGGAGATCCGCTGCTCCCTCGGGATGACCCGAGCATCCCTGCAGTCCCTTTACCCGTGCAGCCATAGAATCATGGAGTGTTAAGGGGTTGGAAGGGACCTTAAAGATTATCCAGTTCCAACCCCCGTGCCACGTGCACGGACGCCTCCCACTAGAGCAGGTTGCTGAAGGCCTTACCCAGCCTGGCTTGGAACAGTGCCATGGTTGGGGCATCTACAGCCTCCCTGGGCAACGTGTTACAGTACCTCATCACACTCACAGTAAAGAACTTCTTCGTAATATCCATCCTAAATTTCATCCCTTTCAATTTGTACCCATTACTCCTTTTCCCATCACTAAAGCTGCTGACGAAGAGTCCCTCTCCGGCTTCCCTGTAGGTCCCTTCGGATACTGGATACTACTCCATCCAATTGGGCACAGGCAGCAGCCGGGGCGGGTGGCTACCTGCCCTTTGTTACCAGGTGAAAGCAGCGCACACCATCCTGCGGAGCAGCAGCGGGCCCGGCGGGAGCAGCCCCTGACCGGCTATCGCCCTCTCTGCCTCCTCGGGCAGGGGTGCAGCCACCCATCCCCGCTCTGGGGACACCTCCGACCAAGGACCGGTGCATCTTTCACCACCGCCACCTGCACCACCAACCCCCTTGGGGTGGCTCGACGGGAGGGTGATCGCTACGGACCCTACATTCCCAGAGCGGGGCCTTTGTTAACGGGGGGCGGCGGGGCGGGGGAAACAGGGGGAGTCTTCGGCAGCCGCACCCGCGGCACGGGCGCACGTAGCCCAGTCCGGCCCCCGCGCTGCCATTCGACGGCGTCGCGGCGGGGCGGGCCCTCGCCCTACCCTCACGCGGCTATAAAGGGCGGCGGAGAGGCGCTGCGCCACCTCCTCACTGCGCGCCGGGCGGCTCGGAGGCAGCAGGTAACGGGCGGGGCGGTGGAGATGCGCGGGGGGAGAGAGCGGTGGCGGCGGGCGTGTGGGAGCCCCCTCCCCAGACGGGCGCCCCGCCCGCCGGCGGGGCGTGCGGCAGCCCCCGGGCGGAGCGGGGCCGCGTGGCGGCGGGGCCCAGGGCACAAAGGCGGCGCGGCGCAAAATGGCGGGGGCGGCGTGAAGGGGGGCGGTGAGGCGAGGAGGGATAGGGGTGTGAGGGGGAGATGGTCGCCGCAGGAGGAGGAGGGGGCGGGTAGCTGTCGCGGGGGGGGCAGGTGGGTTAGTCGCCCGCGGCGGGAGGTGGGGCTAGCTCGGCGCGCGAGCCCCCGCTCGCCCCTCAGCGAGGGCGAGGCGTTAACGGCACCGGCTGAGGGCGCGACTCCGAGGGCGGCTGGTGCCGGCTCTTACGCCCCCGCTGCTGGTTTCTGCCCACAGGAACATCCCGAAGCGGTAAAGATGGTGAAAGTCGGAGTCAATGGGTAAGTGCCGGGGCCGACAGGACCCGCGGGGATTTCGAGGGGGGTTGTGGTGGAGCGGCAAGGTCGCCTCAAGGGCGCGGGGGGAAGATTCGGGGAGAGGCTGGATCCCGCCGGCCCCGCTCGGCCGGCGCCCCCCGGGGCAGCGAGCGGTGCTGCTGACTCATTTCTCCTCGGGTTCGGGGTGACTCACTCCGGAACGGGCTGCCGTTGCTCGGCTGCCCCAGTTTCCCTCCCCGTTCCCGGGGATCCCTGCAGCCCCCCACCGAAAGGTCTCTCAGTGGATCGTGTGTCGATGGCGGCCCCGGGGATGTGACCTTCTCGTGCCGGGCCGAGGGGTAACCGGATCCCCGGGGCTCTCTGTAAATTTAGCGATTGACCTTTCTGGGGCGGGGGTCGTTCTTAATCTTTAACCGGGGTGCCTTGGCCTTTGGACGAGCTGCAGGGCTCCCTCCCGCCCTGCCGGGCAGGGAGCAGCTGATGATCCCAAGGGAAGGCTGCCAAGGACTGCCTCCCATGCCCAGCTGGGCTGGTTCTCTGTTGCACCTCCTCACCCGTGTCTTTCTCTCTCCAGATTTGGCCGCATCGGCCGCCTGGTCACCCGGGCTGCCGTCCTCTCTGGCAAAGTCCAGGTGGTGGCCATCAACGATCCCTTCATTGATCTGAACTACATGGTGAGTTGCTTTGCAGTGCCCCCTCTGGGCCTTTCTGAGTAGGGCTCCTGTGGATCTGTTCTCGTAGCTTCCCCGGGTGTTAGAAGATGATGGCAGCCTGGGTGCCTGACCTTCTGCTCCTCCTATTTATTAGGTTTACATGTTCAAGTATGATTCTACTCATGGCCACTTCCGGGGCACTGTCAAGGCTGAGAATGGGAAACTTGTCATCAATGGGAATGCTATCACCATCTTCCAGGAGTAAGTATCTCTTTCTTGATTGCTTCTCTGGAGATTGAAAGCAACTGTCTCATGGAACAGCTTGTAAAATTTTGTCCCTCCTTAGGCGTGACCCCAGCAACATCAAGTGGGCAGATGCTGGTGCTGAATATGTTGTGGAGTCTACTGGTGTCTTCACCACCATGGAGAAGGCCGGGGTGAGTATGCCACAGAGGTGTAGGAGAGAAGGGAATAGTGCTGCTTTCTGCCTGTCGGGCACACCACCATTTACAGAGCTGCTCAAGATAGGGCTGTGAAGGAGAAGAGATCTGAAGAAGCAAGCTTGGAAGGATCCTGAGTTATGTAATCTCTTATCTCTCTTTCTCTCTCCAGGCTCACCTGAAGGGTGGTGCCAAGCGTGTGATCATCTCTGCCCCCTCTGCTGATGCTCCCATGTTCGTGATGGGTGTCAACCATGAGAAGTATGACAAATCTCTGAAAATCGTCAGGTAAGGAGAGTAGCATGCTTCCTGGCCTGGAGCTCTCGCCAGCTGCCAGGGGTCTCACTTCACCTCCATAGAAGAGTGGCCCCTCGCGCAGATGCCCCTATATCTCTATCCCAGCAATGCTTCCTGCACTACTAACTGTCTGGCGCCCTTGGCCAAGGTCATCCATGACAACTTCGGCATTGTGGAGGGTCTCATGGTAGGTCTGCAGCTTGGTGCTGAAGAGGGTGACCTACCACAGATCCCCTCACGTGAGAGGGGAAAGCATCTGTGTCACCTGGGATGCTCTTTCTGGAGAGTATTGGCTGTGTTCTTAATCCTATGCTCTTTCCTCAGACCACTGTCCATGCCATCACAGCCACACAGAAGACAGTGGATGGGCCCTCTGGGAAACTCTGGAGGGATGGCAGAGGTGCTGCTCAGAACATTATCCCAGCGTCTACTGGAGCTGCTAAGGCTGTGGGAAAAGTCATTCCTGAGCTCAATGGGTGAGTGTTGTCCATTCTCAGATGTCAGGAAGAGGCAGAACATTCCTAGACTGGCAGAGGAGTGCCAGATGCTGTTCCTTAGTGACTTGTGTCTCTCACAGGAAACTTACTGGAATGGCTTTCCGTGTGCCAACCCCTAACGTCTCTGTTGTGGACCTGACCTGCCGTCTGGAAAAACCAGTAAGTGTTGTGGACGAGGTCCTAACAGCTTGCAGATGTGCCCCTCTTCCTCTAAGCTCTGCATTGCACCTGGAATTGCCCTCTCTGCATCCATCTTGTCCTGAAGATATCTTTGTGAAAAGAGCACCTGCTGGGGTGTTCCCATGTGTGTCTTCTCCCTTCCCTGTCCCCAATGGACATTTTGTGTGAGTTGGAATCTGATCATCTTGGATCTGTGTCTCCTCAGGCCAAGTACGATGACATCAAGAGGGTAGTGAAGGCTGCTGCTGATGGGCCCCTGAAGGGCATCCTGGCATACACAGAGGACCAGGTGAGGAATGCCTACTCTCAGCCTGCAGTTACAGGCTCTTGGCCTCACTTTTGTAAAAGGCAGCTTTGGGCACTTGGAGTAGAGACTGTGGGCAACCATATGCATTACAATTTCTTGTGTTTCAGGTCGTCTCCTGTGACTTCAATGGTGATAGCCATTCCTCCACCTTTGATGCGGGTGCTGGCATTGCACTGAACGACCATTTTGTCAAGCTGGTTTCCTGGTAGGTGCAGCCCTGGGCGTGAGGGGGTTGGCACAGACAGGTTGCAGACTTGAGTGTCCTGTTGGTTACCACTGGTGATCCAGGTGGATGCACAAATCTCTAGTCTGTCCATGGAGTGAGATTGTTTCTTATCTGGAATTACTGTAGCTGCCTCCTCCTCTCCAGAGGGTAGATGGGAATTCAGTTGTGTGGCATGGGGCAGTGGAGCAGGAGGAATGGAAGAAGGGGTGTGAGAAATGAGTCAGCCCTGACAGCACTTACTTTCTGTCCCCAGGTACGATAATGAATATGGATACAGCAACCGTGTTGTGGACTTGATGGTCCACATGGCATCCAAGGAGTAAGCTGAGCACACAGGCCCCCCCCTGCTGCCTCGGGAAGCAGGACTCTTCTTTGTTGGAGCCCCTGCCCTTGTTCACCACCGCTTAGCTCTGCATCCTGCAGTGAGAGGCCAGTTCTGTTCCCTTGTCTCCCCCACTCCTCCAACTTCTCCCCGAACCTGGGGGAGGTGGAGAGGCTGATAGAAACTGATCTGTTTGTGTACCACCTTACATCAATAAAAGTGATCACCATCTGAAAAGCCTTGTCTGTCTGTCAGGGGGAGATGGGAGGAGCGGGCCATATATGTACTGAGCAGCTGCCGTGGCACAGTCTGCCAGCTGCAGTGAGAAGCCGGGGACTGCAGCCTGCTGAGCTGCTTGTTCCACGTGGGAGAGCCCGGAGTCCAGCCTGCGAGCCAAAACAAGGTTGTGCAGGACCATGCTCCCACAGCAGGACTCTGCCTCGTAGGATGGAAAGTGGCTCTGGCTCCATCTGCCTAGCTCTGGATTTGCTTGTCTGATGGGTGCACGCAAAATAAAAGTGCTGAGCAGATGACTCATGCATTTGGTTTGGTAAAAGGGCACAAGAAACCAAAATTCATTCTCCTTCCCTGCCTCAGTGGGGGACAAGGAAGATATTTCCTGGTGTTACAAGGCAGGCATTTCACTTGCTTTACCTTTTAAAATGGCTTTTGCCTAGAGGAAATGGCTGCCTAGGGACGTGTTGGAGGCCATTGTCGGCATGGTGGTGGCCAGTCTTAATTCTGGCTTAATTCTGTGCGTAAGGAGGGGCAGTTGCAGTTAATCTGCTGAGCAGCAAATCTCTGCAAGGTGAGTGTCAGCCCTCTGCCTCCCTGCATTAGTTCTGGAAGCGTGAATGCTGCTGGGCAGCGACAGTGCCTTCCATGACCTGTGAGCACCAGGACAGATAAGCAATGCACTGCACAAAATCACGTGGCCCTCCATTTTTAGCAGCTTAATTTAGCATCTCAGGGCTGATGTTTCTCTCCCTGGCAGGCACGGTTGGAGCTGTTGTCCGGACCCCAACTGCTTTAGACCCTGATCTGGACACTGGAAGGACATAAGCTGGAGGATTTAAACTCTCAGGATCAAGGTATGCTGGTCATGGTTTTCCAGAGCTGCTTATCTCCAGCAGTTGGGCTGCGTAAGAATTAAATGTTTTCTGGACTAGAAGGCGATGACTCTCAAAGTTATTTTGCAAAGAGAATAGGTTGAATAACCTGCCTCTGGATAGGAACTGGGATTATGAGCAGCTTGTTAGCCCTGGGAGAGCAGAAATACTTGGATTGCACCACAAATTGCCCCATCACTGGAGCTTTAGGTAACTTTGGAATCAGATAGGAACTGGGTGCTGCTGGAGCTCACTGGAGGCAGCTGTCCCATGGAGCTGGGTTTCTGCTGGAGGGGCTGTGTAGCCTGGAGACCTGTCAGGATTACAAATGAGTCTTGGGTTGGTCCCATCCTGTCCTTGATTGCTGTGCCTGGGTGCTTTGAATGGCTGTTCTGCTGCCCCCCACGTATTGTGTGTGCGCCAGTCAGTGCCTTGCTTGATAATCTGGAAGTGCAGAGAGGCTACTGAGACATCTAAAGGGGGGGAAAGATAGATGTCCTGTTTTCCCATGCAGAACATATTTTTAGCTGGGTTAAAAACTGGAACATTTCTACAAGTCAACCTTTTCTCCTAAAAAGCCTTGTTTCCTAAGTGAGATAAGACTATCTAAAAATTGGTAGAGCTAAGAATCCTTGTTATTTAACAAGCATGAACCCTATCCAACTTGAGATCAAATTGCTCTGAAGTAATACAGCCCCAGGGTGGAGGAAGAGTATGTGCTCTCAGACCAACAGCTGCTAGGAATGTCTTGAATAAAGGTTCACTCTGTTTTCAAATACTATTTCAACTGTTTTACAATTTAATCTCTCCTAGAAAAATCATATGGTATTCAGGCAAGGAAAGCCAGGAATCACAGTGTTTAAAACATGGTTGGTCTTGTATGGAAACAGGGAGAGTGAGTGTTGCAAACTAGTCATGCAGCTTTTGGACTGCCTGGAGGGCTTGGTTTCCTTTCTCTAATATAACCTCCCTAAAATGCACAGCTCTTCTAAATCCTTATTCTGCATCCAGACACTGTGCCTACAGATGGCACCACAGCAAGGCTCCTCTGTAAGATGGAAACCAGCTCAGTGGCCAGCTTGTCTGAAAACTGCAACCCTGACTTAAAAAAATCCATGTAATTTTTTTTTAATCAGTTTGCAAAATTGACATATATGACTGTGGATGGTATTGAGATAAAGATAGGAGATCTATTGTGGCAGCTACTTCTGTCTCTGGAGAGGAGTTTTCCCCCAAGTAGGAGAGCTCTAGGTTTGTTGACAGTGTTATGGAATGCAGGTAAGAAATGCTTGGTCAGGCAAGGCAGGTGCTCAGGCAGACAGCAAGAGGCTCTCATTCAGCAAGGTAGTGAAAAGCAATTGTGACACTTTGCTGGAACAAATCAACTCCAAGAGCAGCAGCCACAAGCCAGAATCCATCCTGGTTTGTGAGCACCTTGCAAGGGGAAGGTACGGAAAGACACTGATCCTGGCTAAAGGGTTGACTCCGCCTTCCGTGGCTGGCCAGGCACCAGGGCTCGCTGTGCAGAGCCATTGTAGGAGAGGGATGCACCTGGGAAAGCTCTCTGGCTGACCCAAGAGACAGCTTCTCTGATGGGCAGCCAACCAGTTCTAGGGGTGGTAAGCTCTACATTTTATTCTCCTTTTTTTTTAAGACAGCTACGGGTAATTAGCAGTGGTGTTACAGAAAAATTTAGTTTTATGGTAACTTTGAACTTTTAGAGCAATTATTTTATACTTCCTTGGCATTTGCATAGACTACTACACATGCATTGCTTCCCCAAGAAAGGTCCTCAGACTACCTTCATGTTGAGATGTCTGCATGAAACTTCAGCATTAAGGAAGATGCCATGTAGTGAAAACCAGCTTGAGCAGATGTGGAAAATAATTAAATCCACTTGAAAAATCACCCCAAAACATAACAAAATGGTGACCTTGTAAGCACAGTGGAAAACATTTAAAACATCATTGTATCCACTTCTGAAGTAAATCAGTGTTTAAGCAAAGCAATTGGCAAGACCAGGGCAAGGAAAAGGAGATAGAGGTCTCTGAAAGACTTACAACATAGTTACAAAAGACAAACATCTTAAAGGATGATGTTTCAACCTCCTTCATAACTGATGCCATTCACGAAATGCAGGTTCATGACTTAGGGTATGCAAATACCACTGCAAGCTCCAGCAGTGCTCACATTTCATTAAAACCAAGCTGCCTACCTTTGGGCAATCACAATGTGTACATGCTGCAAAAAAACAAATCATTTGTTACTTACTCTTCTGAGCTGGATGTAATCTCTTACTCTAGGACAGCTGACTTACCTCCATATATTACCTTACTACAGAAGTACCATCTTCTTGAGGGAGTTAATTAAGTGTTCCCTAGAAGGAACAGCAGTGCTGGGTTATACTTCACAGTGTAAGATTTGAAAAGGCAGCTGTCAAAAAGCAGAAGCTGTAGTCAAATGAAAACAAAAGAAAAACCCATAAATACTAGTAAATGAGACTTAGTAATGCAAAGGGAAAAAAAAAAAAGGAGATTATGTGACAAATAGAAAAGGAAGGCTGAAAACCTCTTTCAAATACATATTGGAGATAAGAAAGCTGCCAAAAAGCTGTAAGATGGCGTGGGAGTGATTAGGGAAGCTTAAGTCCATGAATGAAAAGTAAACTTGATGTTTTGCCTTCAGAGGAGCTTTGGGGTGTCGCCAGACAGGAGATTTTCCTCAGCAGCAATGAGATAGATGAAGGCACCACTGAAAACTGAAGCATCAGGACTTGAGAACGTGTCTGTGACATGAAGGGCAGCAGACCCCATGGGAGACTCATGTGGTCTCCAGCATGAAATGGATAAACAGGTTAATTGTGCTGCAAGTAATTCACCACTCACCTCACGCCCCCATGATGAAAAGCAATGTAATTTAGGAAAAAACAGGCTGGCAAAATCTTTCAAAGAACTGCCTGAGGAGAGGGAAGACCACCCTCTCCTCCCAAGGTTGAAAACTTGTGGCAAGACTGGTTGCAGCTGAGACATGTGAGTGGCCAGCATCTGAGGCCGTCTGCTCCATCAATCAACACTTTCAGAAAAATTTGGAGCATGGGGCACCAAGGTGTTGTTGATTATACAAAATGACCCAAAACATTCAGCCCTGAATGAGCCTGTGGAAAAGTGAAGAAAGATCTTGTGACCAAGTGACTGGGTTATTAAAATGCTGGATGAAATTCAAGGTTGCTAAATGAGAAATACTACATGCAGGCCTCAAAGCCCTCTTTTGACATTGCCCAAACCTCCAACAAACAAGTGAGCAACTTCTGTTGACCTTGGTGTGAGTCCTGCGACAGAAGGGGAAAATAAAAAAGGTGGTTTTTAATCCCTGCAATCTTTGTTTTTTTAGTTGCCACGTTGGATACTGGTTTAGGTGCTGGACACCAAGTACCAAATATCACATGGCCTCCATCTCCCCCATCTCCTCAAAATCCTTATTTGTCTTCAGCAGCCTGATGAAACTCCCACCTAGACCAACATCATGAAGTGACTTCAGGCACTGCGCAAAAATGTTCACTTGTCTTTCTTTTTAGGAGCAAAGTAACTAAGCTTTTCACTTTCAAAACATTTTTTTTTTCCAGTCTGGAATCGTGGTTAGAAGACTTTGGTCCATCTATTCCAATTTCTGATTGCAAAGCAGGACAAAGGATACCAATGTCATATGTGGATAAAAGATGTTTAAAGACATCTGCAGTGTCTGGCTGAGAACTTGTACATGATTGCACATGAGCCCTGCTCCCTAGGTCTTTCCAACCCTGCTGTTTTCCCAGGCAAGGTCAGTCACTATTTATTGCTCTTGGATGTATCTATGCATGGCTATATATGTCTGGCAACAGAACCTCTCTTTTCACCCTATTCAGAAATATTCTGTAATGCCTCTTGGCACTTTTGTGAGTCTGTATAATTTCTACAAATCAAAAATGGTATCAGTTTTGTCTGTCAATTCCATATCCTGTTATAAATACTACTTAAACTGCAGATTTTTTCCATTCCTTCATGATTTTTCGCCTCCTCCCCCCTGCACTGGTTTCTCATTGGCTTTTGTCCATGCCCTGTCAGACTAAGCACTGACGTCATTTGCTTGCCC